CCAACCACCAGCAGCAGCAGCAGCAGAGCCCAGCATCAAGCATTCAGCTCTAAAGCCACGGTCCGAGCAGCTGTTCTGGCTGCTGTAAGAAGTGCAGGACTGATCGACTAACAGATGCCCTCTAGTCGACAAAATTTATATATATTTATATTTATTTAATATTATATTAATATTTATATATTTTTTATATATTTTTTTAAAAGTATTTGTTATTTAATTAATATTTTTTTTTTTTTTTTTTTTTTTTGTTTTTTTTTTTTTTTTTTTTTGCATTTAAAAAAGTGTTACTTTTATATACATATTTTTTATTTATTATTCAACATTTCTTTATCATATTTAATTAAATATAAATGTTTGCCCTGATATTGGGTATATAATTATATCTGAACGACTTGATTTCATTTTCTTAATGTATGGAATGGAATGTAATGGAATCTCTCCGCCTAGACCAAAAATCAAGAAACTGCAAATTGCTTAACTATAAAATATATGGCATAACTTTGATGCTTCACTATACATCCTAATCCCAATCAAAATTTGATTATCAACCCCTTTTCCCGTCACATAGACTAATCAAAAATCCACTATAACCTATTTTCAATCAAGCCAGGGTATACAAACCCAAAAAATAAGCGAGATGAGAATAGTGGAGGAAAAATAAAAACTACGTGTCCCGGTACTTCTCAATGTAGTCAATGCGCCGCCTGCATTGCCTTTGCATTTGTTTTGTTTTGTTTGCTTTTTTTCGGTGGTGCAGCAGCAGCACAAGAGCAAGAGCGGCAAGGAGAGCGGCAGAAGAAGAGGCTGCGCGGCAGTGAGGAATCACTTAACAGGCAACAGCGGGGACACGACGATTAATGCCAGCGAATCGCAACGAATCGCGCGTCAGCGATGCGGGCCTAAGACCTGAGACCTGAGCGAACACGGCAAGCTGGAAGCTGGGCAGGGCCATTGGACTCGAGATTAGCGCAGGATTTGCGCCTGATCAAAAAGACTGAAAGCCTAGAGAAACAAGTAAAAACGAAACAAAAATGAAAAACCAATGTTCTAAATGCAAAACCGAAGGTTTGATACTCTCGCAACGTAAGCAGAGGAATTCGTAAATGCCAAGAGGGAACTCTAGGTATAAAAGATCTTTAGCTATTAGATCTGCAGCTTCAAGAAATCTATAGCCAAAAGAGATCTCTAGTTATAACAATGAGATCTCAAGATCTATAGCTGCTTGTTCGGTACGATAGACCATAAAGAGTTCTCTCTTTAGTTATATATATATATTGTATAAATATAAAGCTGCAAACTTTTGATTGATTGGCAGATTTATTAAAGCAAACCAAGTCGAATTCAGCAATCTCTATTAACCTACATTGAACTACCAATTGCTGTTCGCAACTCTAACCCAACTTGCAATAACAATAACAATCAAATGAGCCACTCTTAGTGTTCTACTCTCTTTATACTCTCCTATTTGCTAGGGTATAGAAAATAACAGGAACACAAGTTAAGCCAAGCCAAGCCAATCCAGGCTATGGCTATAGCCATGGCTAGCCTGAGCTGGGCAACAGATAACGACAACGACGACGGCGACGACGACAACGACGACACCTTGCGAAGCAGAGTCAAAGTCAGAGCCATAGCCAGAGCCGGAGGCTGCATGGCTTAGGCTAAGGCTAATGCTAAGGCCCAGAAGAGCAGGCCACAAGTCGTGCAGGAAGCGAGTTTTTATGCAGGCAAAAGGTTTACTTAACAGTCTCAGCTCAGTCTCTCTCGTTCTCTTTCCTTTTCTCTTTCCGTCTCTGTCTGTTCGTTTGTCCTACTGTCCATTTGGTCCGTTCTCGGACTTGTCGTCTGCGTCTGCCTGCCTGCCGATGCCGATGCTGCTGCTGCTCTAAAACCAGTTGCAGGTAGTTTAAAGTAAGCCCAAGCTGTTTGGTTCGCTCATCTTTTGCGGGCTCATGCCTTGCTGCCTCTTCTTCTTCATCTTCCTCTGCTGCGACTGCTGCGACTGTTGCTGCCTGTGCAACAGGCCAAAAAGACTGGACTCTACGAACTCTGTGTCCAATATTTTGTGTTTTGTGGCCGAAACGAGCGTTTTTCATTGCCCATTTGGCCCTCCTCTCTACTGCTGCTCCTCCCCGTCTCTCTATCTCTCTCTCCCATTCCCCTGCTGCTGCTGCCCGCGTTTCTTTATGTTTGTCTTGGCCACAATGCAGTGAGAAAAATTCGTAGAACTTTGCCTAGGATTAATTGGTTAATCTTCTTGTGTATTTAAGTGCATAAATGGTTTCCGATTTCCACGAAATAAATTATAAACTGATTAATCTGGCGTTCAGTCGATGCCTTGCCTCATTTTTTATTGATAAACATTTACATTTTTATGTTGAATGATAAGCTGGCTTTGCTTTATGATATAATTAACACGCAACATGCGTAGGCGTTGTTGCCAAGCATTTATTGCTCCATTTACAAATGTTAAATGACTGCATTGTTGCCAAACTTCTGTTAAATGGCATTGACTGTTATCATAATTCCTTGAATATGATTTCAAATTTAAGCAATGCAATTTCTTCGGAAAGGGTTAAGCATTGTTGTCATTTTTCATTAGCAGAATTGAAACCTGTTGCCAAATTTTACTAACGGCTATACATAGCTATAAATATCTGCTTAAAGTTCTATACATTGTTGCCAAAGCTCATATTGATCTGATTATTATAATATTATATTATATTATGTTCTACATTCTAAGTTTCAGTATAATTAGACTCATTAAAACTCATGATCTGTTGCCAAAATTCAGGGCAAACTGTAAACATCTCTACACAATTATAAATAGTACTACATTAATCTCATATTATATTATTACTATTACATTTCCTACACTGTTGCCAAATTTCAGCTATTACATATATTATTTTAAGCTAGTTCCAAGTTTATATAAGCTTCCAATTTCATGCAATGCTAACAAGCTTCACATAAGCCTCTGCATATCTCCATATGCCTAAACAAAGAGTTTAAACCCATTTGGAAAGTCACATTTTCGAAATGTTTGGCTTAAGCCATTGACAAACTTGAAAAGCTGACGCAATTCAAGTCGCTCCGAATAGTTTACAAAACTACACATAAAATCAAACAGAAACCCCAAAATCCATTTCCATTAATAGCCAAGAGCTATTGTTTTTAACAATTTCAAGTGAAATTCCAATTGGGATTCCAATTTGAAGCACTTTGACCGATGTTGCCAAACTTCATTAACTATGACACTTGCTCGCATTGCTGTTCGACTTCCTGCCAAAGTAATAGATTACACCTTCTCTCACCTGCTGCTTGCTGCTGGCTGTTGGCTGCCTGCCTGCCTGCCAGGCTGCTAACCAACGGCACATAAACAAAACTAGCCTCGGCATCTGGCCACACGGGCATCTAACAACAAGTTCGACATTTGGCACTTAAATTTAACGCTTGATTGCATTTACAGTGCGGAGTGCCGAGTGGCCCAGGCTATATATTAATATAGTTTTTCTCTGAGCCAGTGCAGCTGACTGCGACGACCCAGGCCACAGAGACCAGGAGACCAAGAGACCAAGAGACCGACCGACAGACCGACCGTCAGACAGACCAGACCCGACCAGAGCATGATGATTGCTTTTGAAAAGCCAATCCAACGTCAACGACTCTATTCTGCGGGTTTCTGCTTTAAGCCAGAAGGCCTAAGCCAAGCCGGCTTCTTTCTCCTTTTAAACAGCTTTTCACGTTTTGCCCCATTCTTCTAGGGCTTGGGGTTACCAGAGAGGGCGGGCAGTGGCGGTACGAACGACGACGATGCTGCTTACTCTCCTCCACTTGTGGCACATTTCGTTGTCGTCTTTATGCGCTGCACAACTTCCTTGTGCCTACTTTTAAGCACTTCTACTCTATGCCTAACCCGACCCTCATCGCCCCTCCTCCTGTTCATTCCGCTCCTCCTGCTAGGCGTCACTTAGCGTGTGCCAGTTTTTTTTTTTTTTTTTTTCGCTAGCTTCTTTTGGTGTTTACCCAACACTTTTGCTCTCCCTCTCTATCTTGCTCTCTCTGTCTCTGTCTCTCTTTCTGTCCCGCTGGGCGTGCAGAGCCGGAAATGCCGTTTTACACGTGAATGAAATTTGTATAAAATTGAAACGTAATGCGCAGCGTTGCCAAATTTCAGTTCAGCTGTCAAAAACAAGTCAAAGAATCAACCGTTACAAGCGTTGCACAACTCGTTTAGCAACAATTAATGTAAAAATTGTAAAAATGCAAATCAAAGAAGGTTGGGAAAAACTTTTGCCCGGCGAACGGCCGCGAGCCAAAACAGAAAAGAACAAAAAGAAACAGAAAACAGCTGGAAAGGGGAAAACGGGGGAAAGGGGACAGGCGAGCAAGCAAGCTTGTTTAGAATGGGTGGGTAGCGGAGCATATTTAGAGAGAGAAAAACCACCCTAACTAGGCACAAAGGACAAAGGACGACGCGACGCCTGATGTTAATGTTGACGCTGCGACGACAGACCGCATACAAAAAACGTGGCATTGAACCCTAGAGTTACATGACAGGACTCTTTAGTCTAGCATGAAGAGCTAACTCCAAATGGGAAAACAACTTGGATTTACTATATGAAATGTGATTTAAAGGAGGCAACAAAAATATATATGTAGGTATATATGATATATCAAAAGTTGTGAATACTTTCTTCAAAAATAGAGATAATGCAGTCCTATGATATATTCAATATATATTTCCTTTCTATGAATCTGCACTGCTTTAGCTCAGTTGACAGATTGTAATATCCTACACCATACCATATAGATAATCGATATAAATATCAAACCATATCATCATTATATAATCAATCAATTTTTTGTAATCTCTATCAAAACCACAAAGTTATGCCATATTCAATATATTATAATTTATTTGATTCTTGTTTATATTATAACTATCCCATATAATAATATTATATTAGATAATCTCATATGAAAACATTTTGACTTACCAGACAACTCCGAATGCACCGTAGCCAATTGGACGATCCGGCTGGACATCCTGTGGCACCGCTGGCGGCTGATAATATGGAGCCGCTGCGGCCAATATTGCGCTGGCGCCCTGTGGCGCACCACCGGCAGCACCACCCTGTACCAGTGACATCGAAACGCTCATCGAGCTACGCGGCGCAGCAGCTGAAGAATTTGGGCAGCTGTTGATGCTGCTGCTGTTGCTCTTCTTAGTGGTGGTGGCGACGGCGGCTACGGTGGCGATGGCAGTGGCGATGTTGGTGGTGGTGGTGTTGGTAGTGGTGGAGTAACTTTGTGCTGTGTGCTGGGGATTAGCTGGCGTTTGATAGATATAAAGTCGTTGCTTGCTGTTGTTGTTAGTGCTGTTGATGTTGCCGTTGCTGCTGGTGTTGGTGGTTGTGGTGGTGGTGGTGCTGCTGCTGCAGTTCGTGGCGGTGGCGGTGGTGGTGGTGGTGGTAGTTGGATGGGAGAAATGGTGTTGACTGCTCAATGGATGCCGCTTGGGGCCACTAATGGCCGCCATTCAATAGTTGCCCATTAGAAGTTTGTAATTTTGGATTTCTGTTATTATTGTTGTTGTTACGCACACTTTGTTGATGTTGTTGTTGTTATTTGAATTTTATTTAACACATTAAAAATGAATTGATGGAATTTAATTTAAATTCTGCATTGTACACACGCTTTTCTTTGATTTTTATTATGCTGTTGTTGTTGCTGTTGGTGATGGCGACTGCAAAAGAGAGAGAGAGATAGAAAAATAAAGTGGAAATAGAAGAATTTGAGATTTAGATTTTTAGGCGCATTTTTTGGCAGGCAAAGAGAAAAAGGCAAACCGAAAAAAGACGAAAAAGTGCCGTTAGCTGCGGCCGGGGCGCGTCTTTGTTAGTGTGCGCGCATGTATATGTATGCGTGAGTCAGTGAGCTAGCGCAAGAGCCAGAGAGAAAGAGAGAGAGCAGCCCGGAGTAGGCAAACAGAAAAAAGAAACTAAAAGTGGGCTATGGAGTTTATTCCTTTCTTTTTTTTTTTTTTTTTCAAATGAGTCAAATGTTTACATGGCAGCGCAGACAAAAAATGACGAACAAATTTCTTATTTAATATGTGCACATGTTTTGCAATAGCAACAAAAAGAGAGAGCGAGACGGCGTGCGCTCTCACAGCGTGTTTAGCGTCAGCGTCGCGCACTTGACACTTTTTTCTGTCGTTGCGGCTCGACATCGATGCCGACTGAGACGCTGACGCTGACGTTAAGGCAACGCTCATGGAAAACAATGCACAGAGCAATAGCAATAGCAATAAAAAGAAAGAGTGCAATGAAATGCAGAAAATGTGCGGCTTTTTGTATAACACACACAAGGAATTTGGCAGTTTTTCCCAGCTTCGAGCTTACCTTTTAACAAAATGCACAATTATTGAGCGACGACTGCGGCGGCGACAGAGGCAACGGCAGCGAATTATTGTTGATGGCAACGGTGGGGAGCTAAATATGCCGACTGCGGCGACTCTTCCGCATTTGTATATATGAATGTGTGTGTGTTTGGTTTTGCGTGCGGCTTGCGTATGTGTGTGTGCGTGCAGCGTCGTTGGCGGCGGCGGCGGCAGTGTGAGAGAGAGACGATGTGAAATGTACAAATACAAACTCAAAGCGCGGCGCGAGCTGAGACGGCAACACAGTGGTTCACAGCGGAACTGCAACAACGACTAAAATGCAGCAAGTCTGACGAATTTGTTATTATTTGTGTTTTATTAACGCGTACACACATTCATTTAAAGACACAGCCACACACACAGAGGGAAAGAGCGAGGCGAACGAGCGAGCGAGAGAGAGAGCGCGAACGAGACCGACGGCAATCAATTGAATATATTTTGTATTTGTTGTAATTTTTTTATTTGTGCATTTGGTCACGTTTGTTTGGGGGAGCACAGAATATTTATTGCATTATCTTTCTATCACACTACCCGAAGTTTGATAGGCAGTAGCGAAATTGCTTTTGCAATACATGTGTGTGTATGTATTAATTTTTTCCTCTGCCTTTTGCATCAAACACACGCGGCGTCTTCTTACCGATTTTATGCGTGTCGTTTATGCGAAAGTCGTGATAGGACTGACAACAACAAAAATTTCTGGCAATGTGACCGGGCTGCTCGGCCTGGTCGCTGTGTGACCGAGTCAATTCGTTTTCGGTATTTGCTCAAACAGCTGAGTCTTAGCAACATGTTGCGTGAGTAGAGCAGTCTGCTGTTATGCTGGCAGCGAACCTTAAATATGTGAAACATTAGATGACTTTTTTGTTTGCTCAATTAATGTAAATTTATATGTTATTTTGAGTATTTTCATGTACACCTCTAATTCATATTTATGTTTTGTAGACATAGCGCGTTTGTTGTATAATGTTGCTGCAACATTAGGAGCATAGCAATATGTGTGACCTTAAAATATTATTGCATTTGCGGCCTGATGCTAAACAGAGCTATGTTAAGTTAACATAAACAGCTGTTGGTGTCGATAGTTCTTATCGGCTTATAAAATGTGCGCTATATGCTAAGAATATTGTAAACAAATAAAATTGACCAGAATGGAGAGAGAAACAGAAAGCTTGAAGGAGTTTCTTACAGATCTCGTTGTGCCGCATCACCGCTGCAATGTGAACATCATACCAGATCATATTACCATGCTGCACGGCACGAAGTCAAAGAAGCAACACTCACGCAAACGTCGCGCTCACAAATCGAACAGCCTGACGAGGCGCGAATATGCAGAGCTCGGACTCAATACTCTGCCCACACGTCAAATGCGTTACGAGCAGGCACTACCGCTGCACAAGCTCTGGCGTGGCTACATACGCGAGCATCTGGGTCTAAAGGAGGGCGAAGAGGTGCCGCAGTTGCATGAGAAACGCTACGACGAATTTAGCCGGCAATTGGTCAAAATGGATTTGCATGGAGCCAAGCTGCGAGTGCACCAATCCAAATGCCCCACCCTGGTGGGTCTCAGTGGAATCTGCGTCATGGACACCAAGAACGTACTGAAGCTGCTGGGCGAAGATCACCGCGTGCGCACAATACCCAAGAGCGAATGCGTCTTCAGCCTCCACGTGGACAGCATGGATTTCATCATCTTCGGACAGCATTTGAATATGCGACCAGCAGAGCGAAGTGTGAAGAAGATTAAAAACTATGTGGAGCCATTCATGTAGCACAAATTGTAAAACATTTAATTTAAGCTTTTCCTTTGCTTTATATAAAATCGTACGCCCGAAATATCGCGACATATTTATTATATTATATAGATATATATATATGTATAGTTAGTTCAAGATGCTGTTGCTGTTGTTGTTGTTGTTGTGGTTGTTTGTGAGAGCATTTACGCAGGCGGCTTGGTCATGATGATCACAGCGGAGGGCACAAGGCCCAGCACCTCGAGCGGCTTCTCATAGTCCTCGTCGGCAAAGATCTTGCGCGGAAATGTTGTCATCAGTGCGAATGGAGTCTCAATGCCAGTCTTCACCTGGATGAACACACGCACAGCGGACAGCGGCTCCTTCACATTGAATTCGGAAGCCAGTGTGGAGCCATCCTGCAATCGCACCTGGATGCGTGTCTCCGTGTACTCGCGCGGTGGCGACTTGACGCCAGTGGGCGTGGTGGCTGTCGTAGTGGAGCTGACAGAGGGTACGGCGTCCGACAACTGAGCAGCGGGACTGTTATGTGCTTCCCTATAAGAATTATTGAGGTTAGCCGAAAGTTTTACATTAGTTAAATGAGGTTCCCACCTGGCTTTGCGTGCCGCTTTGTCCGCTTCGATCTGTGCACGAACACGATCGCGTGCCGCCTTCTCCTCTTCCTTTTCGCGCTTGCGCTGATCCACGATTTTCTTCATCTCGATTTCCTCCATGCGACGGCGTGCCTCTGTCATATCTTTGCCAGAGCGTATACGATTACGTTCACGCTCCAATGCATCAGCCTTCTCGCGCTCCTCTCGCTCCACGCGCTTCTGCTTAAGCTTCTCCTCGATCAGAGCTAACTGTGCCTTCTTCTCTTCCTCGGTGAGCGCCTTCTTCTCCTCGGTGGATTCGGAAAAGTTGCTGTGACCTGTCTTGGCCGCATGGTATTCTACCTCAGTCTGATCCTTGAGCACCTTGCCACAGTCATCGCATTTCAGAGATTTGGCTACGGCTCCGCCGTCGGCAGCACCGCTGCTGCTGGGCGCTGTGTCTTCGCCGGAAGCTGTGGCTGCAGCAGGAGCTACATCGCTTGCCGCCGCAGCGGGTATCTCTTCGTCACCATGGGCCAACAGCCATTCCATGGCCATTTCGACGCCCTTGTGGCTAGTTACTTTCAATGCATATTCACTAGAAACAGCCAAATAAAAAAATGTTTAAATTACCGGCGAAAAAATATTGCATTTTAGACTCACACTCGATCTCTGGGGAAACCCATGTCCATTAAGGTTTGTATGTCGCTCATGTTTGCTGTTTAATATTTGAGTATATATGATTTTTTAATAAACCTGTAACTTTGTGCAAATGTTTAATCTTCTCTCAATATTTTCCCCTGCAATAATGACACACAAAAACAATGTCCCGTAGCTAGTGTTGCACAACGTTGAAAAATGTCTATGAATACTTGAAATAATTAAATTTTATTCAAGTTCAAAAGTAATGAGAGCGAAATGTAAATAAAATAGTGAGATAAATATAACGCGAAATATCAAAAATTAAGAAAAGTCAAATTGAAAATTATTCAGCTCAGTCGTAAACTATTTTCGATAAATGTATCGCTATCGATATCGGGGCAGCTGGTTCCAATTGTCAGCTGCGTCGTTGCAGCTCTCACTCCGAGTAGCGTCATAATTTATACATTTTCTGAGAGTTCATGCTTACCAAGATGTCGCCTCAAAATAAATTGAAAAAGATGATCGTTAAACTACCACGCCATCCACTTATTATGGCAAACAGTGATTTCGTATATCAGGAATGCATGCAAATACGAAAATGTCGCGTCAACTTGGAACGCATCAAAGGACAAACAGCAGCAGCAGCAGCAGGACACCCGTTTCCCTTGAAGTCAAAACCGAAGCGTTGCTGTGTACGTGTGGCACGATTGCCCGATGTGGAACGCAGCGAGATATCCGTGACGCCAGCCAGCTCCATAGTATGCTCGGATTTTGATGATGGTAGATTTGCATAAAGTTTGCTACTTAAAATTAGTCTAATTATAGTTTCAATATTTCCAGATTCTTCTACTGAATAGATAGCAATCATGTAAAAGACTCGACAAACGGTAATTTCATAATATCCGGGACCCCACACTCACATTTTGTAATTCATAAATTTAAATAATTCTAAAAATACATTTGTAACGAAATAAAAGTATACATATTGTTGTTTTTGTTGCTTGAGAGCAAAAACGATAACACATCAAAGGGCAGTATCGATAGACGTCTAACAAAAGTTTCATCACTATACCATAGATGTCAGGCAGAAAGGAAAAATATTTGTGAAACAGCCAAATTATTCGGTAACAAAACAACATTCCAGGCAGCAAACAATTATGAATTGGCACACGGGCAATATAGCTGAAGCTGTGGCTGAATCCAAAGCCAAAGATGCCATCTTCGTTGTGTACATTCAAGGTAAATAGATGGACTTTTGTATTTGCAATTTAAATTTCACCACGTCATGTTTGCTAATTGAATTTTGTAATCGCCCAATGAAGGCCAGAATGAGATGACAGCCAATCTGGATAGATATCTGGATGATCCACGAGTCACCGAAAAGTTGCAGACACAAGATTTTGTTGCTGTTAAAATTCAAGGTGATAGTGCAAGCTACGCACAGTTTATATCACTCTGTAAGTACGGTGAAACCTCTTTATTGTGGCCGATTTTTGACTCATAGCACTTGTATACTCATAGACAAAGTGGTACCTGTGCCATCGATCTTCTTCATTGGTAAATCTGGCACCCCACTGGACATTGCCACAGGAATCGTTAGCGGTGTCGATGAGCTGTTGATAAAAATCAATAAGGTGCTTCTCCTGTCCGGCAAGCAAAAGGTGAATGCCCCAACTACCAGTGCAACAGCTAAAGATGCTCAGGGAGAGCAGTCGCGACGAAAAATCGCCGGAGATGATAGCGATCCCAGTGACAATACTCTGGTGGCCCCAGTTCCATTGGCTCAGAAATCTGCACCTGCAGCGGAAGCTGTGGAGCCTGTGCCTGAGCCGGCTGCTGAAGAGGAGTCAGAGACAACAGATAAATCAAATAAGACATCAGATAAGCAAGCTGAGGAGCTTAACAACGATCCTGGGGCAGCTATGAGCAGCCAATCGGCTGCAGCTAAGCAAAAATCTGAGACAGAAATGAAAGTGACTCAACCACTGAAACATGCGCCAGCTGCGCAGAAAGAAGTCCAGGAAGAGCCGCAAACAAAGAAATCTGTTGCAGGCCTTTCCAAATCGGCAAAGAAATTACAGCAGCCAGCTGCAGCTGACCAGGAAACAGCAAAGGAATCAACGAAGGAACTAGCAGAATCTTTTGCTAAGCAGCAATCGGAGACGGTATCTAAGCCTGTGGAGGCAGCTGCTGCTGAGCCAAGTGCTCAGATGGAAGCCACATCTTCCCCCAAGCCAGCTGAGCCAACGGCAGCGGCCTTGTCAGCAGCAGCGGCAGCTGAAAAGCGTGCAGCAGCTGCAGCTGCCGCGGCCGCAGCAGCAGAAGTAGAAGCAGCCACCTCGGCGGCTGCCGGCACAATGGCCACAGAGATTACATCTACAGCGGTGCCCGGCCCTGGCTCGCCACTGACGCCCACCGAGGAAACGGCGTTGCGAGCGACAATAAACGTGCAACAGCAGGTGGAGAAGCGTAAGAAAGAGCGCTCGGACGAGAAGAAGCGACGCGATAAGGATGGCGAATTGCGACGCCGTCGGGAAGGACGTGAAGCTCAGGAACAACAACAAGCTGCCCGGGAGCAAGAGTTCAAGTCTATGCAAGTGAGTTGCCAGAAATTGTCCACTGAATGCCAATAGCAAGTTTAACTAATCTTTCTATATGTTTTTTAAGGAACGCATTCGACGCGAACGCCAACAGGAGCAGGCGACACGTGAACGTATCCTGGCTCAAATTGCCGCCGATCGTGCCGAGATGGCCAATCGAGCAGCCATGGCTGCGGCGGAAGTTCCTGTAACAGCTGCGCCAAGCCCAGCCGTAACGGCAACAGCAACGATCACACCCGAGCAGTCGCATCATTCCGCTGTGGAGGAGACACGCCTGCAGATCCGCCTGCCCGGCGGACTGATTCGCATCAAAGATTTCCCAGCCATCGAGCCATTGGCTACAGTGCGTAACTACGTGCGCGAGGAGCTGCTCGCCAGCAGCAACATACGCGAATTCACACTGGCCACCAGCTATCCGCGGCGTGAATTCAAGACGGAGGATGAGCTGAAGTCATTGAACGATTTGAATCTGGTGCCCAATGCAGTGCTATTGGTGCTCGGCAGCAGCCAGGTCAACGTGGTGGTGCGCAGCCGGAATAATATGATGAACATCCTAACCAGCGTCCTCTGGGCAATCCTGACACCGGCCGCCGTGGCTTTTGACTATATCAATAAGTATGGCTTTCAACGTCTGCGCGTGAATTTCATGCAGATGATTTCCAATATTGGCTGGCGTCGGCGTGAAGAAGTCCAGGCTCCTCCCGCTGCCCAGGTCGGAGAGTAAGTGCCAGACCAATATAAATTGAAATACATATTTAATTTCTGTCTTCCTTAGTATCGGCTCTCGGCGTAACATGGATATGTTTATGCTGCGCACAACCAGTGCACCCGGCCTGCAGCGTGCCAATCCGCAGAATGCGGTCGGAGGACCGGATCATCAGATTAAGCCAACGGAACTGTCTAACAATGGTGCGGCTCAGGCGCAGGACTTGGCACAGCAACGATCGGGCATCTTTAAGTCAACTCCTTTTGGCCAGACCAATATACGTCGCTTGGCCGACACAGCTAAGGACGATGACGAGGATAAGGCCACCTACAACGGCAACTCGACACAACAGCAATAAGCGCGAAGCAATTTTACATATATATATACACATATATACTTATACATAACTAGTTAAAAATGTTCTCTTTATCCACATTCACAGCTTCAAAATATGCAGCCTTAAATTATATAAATAGCTAAATACAAAAGTAATGGAAATTTAGAATATTCAAATTTAAAGTCACATTTGTTTACTTGCTGTTTCAGTGTGTGTTTATGTGTCGGTGTCCTTTATTGAAACAATCGATTAAATTATTAACAAACACAATTTCGTGATTAGGTATCAAAGGATTAGATAAAAGTATACAATTTGTTTTTTAAATACATAATTTGTTCTAGACTACGTTTATGCGTAGTTGCTTAAATGTGATTGTGAGTGCTATAAAACATATTAATAATAAAAAAATGGTTCATGTATTTTCTATTTATATTTTGATATTGATAATCACAAACAGTTGCATACACAAAAACGTCTTTTTGATATAAAGAGATATACATATAGTTGTGGTATGGTTTACACAATATATAGGTATTATCGTCATGTGGCTTACATAGTCACTCAGCTCCATTTAATACAATTTACCCTCAAGTCCTGATATACATAGTTCATACATGGTTTACACGATCATGCAACTTGGGCTGATGGAATCGTGATATGATTTACATGATTAGTCATCCTTTTGTTTACAATTTAGCCTCAAGCCTGATACATAGCGAAATATTATATGGTTTTCTTATCAAGACATATATGTATGTACTTTCTCTGATATGGTTTGCACGATTCATCAAAATTTAGCCTCAAGTTCAGGTTGCTTTTTGCTTCTAATACAGTTATAGTATAGATATAAAAAAAATAGTGTAATAAGATCTCATATGCTTCTTTTTTGTTGTGGATTATAACAAATGACAAAGGAAATACTCGAAAGTAGAGAGACGGATGGGTAGTTCTTTACAGTGTAAACCACATGAGGAACTGCAACAGTTTGTAGACGTTGACCAAGGGGAATTTCCACTCGCCCTTGCGTTGCAGTGGCGGCACCAGGCTAGGATAATGCACAGGATTGCTGATGTGGCAATTGGTGTTCACGGTGCCACCTGGATATCTGACGGCCATCACATCGCCCAGCTTGATGCCATCGCAATCGATCAGCTCCAGGGACTTGTTGAAGCATATGCGTATCTCCGATAGGTAGCTAATGCCGTGTTTGCCATCGTATAAGCAGTGGATGGATGGATTCTTGCCCAGGCCGCGCACCAAAGCGTTGTTCAAAGCAATCACTGTATTGTTCGAGTCGGGATGTATGCCAGAGTCATCCAGGATCTTGGACATGACGTACTGTTCGCGCCAATTCAATCCCTGTCCGAAGTACTTCAGCTCGTTGTTTAGCGCCTCAAGGGCAGCAGCGCAGGTACCGTGCTTCAGCCATTCGTGCTTCCAGAGGTAATCCTGTGACGCTTCTCCTTCCAGATCCAACCAGTAGGTATTCAAGCGATCCATAATCGATTCTAATAGCTCCGGATTGAATTCAGCGGACTTATTGCAGAAGTTCGGTCCGAATTGGCCCATTTTGGTCGGCCAGATGCCGTGGATGGTCCAGAATTCCTTCTTCTGCGGCAGGGTGCACTCGTGCGATGGATCCTCCTCCCTCCAATGATAGCACGTAGTCACCGGCCATTGCTGCGTAAAGACAAGCACATCCCAGCTATGCGGATCCCTGCCAACGAGATTCGTATACAGTGGATAATCCTCGTTGTCCTCATCATCTTCGTCCGAGAAATCCGCAGCGCTGGGCCGCTTCAGAGGTTGCTCAACGGAGCTGCTTGATTCATCCGATGCGTTGGCCAGGGCGACACCCGAATCGGATATTTCATCAAGAGCGCTGAAAAACGAAACAAAACGGAGAAAAAAAAAAACAATGCCAGCTGTGAGTAATTTGTGGAGGTTATAGTGCGGGCGGCTCAAGATGGGGGCAACCTTGAACTTGATGCCTGCAAGCGGCATATCGAAATATCGATTCGCAGTTTTCCCTTTTACTATAACTGTTTCTATTTTTGCTTACGTTTACGCAAATCTTGCGTAGCAGGAGCATGGACTAATTTTGTTTATCTTTGTTTAATTTCACAAACATTGTGGGTAATAACTCACCTAAAAGGACTCGTATTTGTCACAGCAAGGCTGCATGATAAAATCGTCAAGGAAAGCAAATACTTTTGCAGTTTCTTCATAATTGACTTTTGTTTTAAAATAACGCAGTTAAGTTATTATTTATTATTCAATACAAATATGACGCATTTTACGCAATCTGCGAGCTCAGCACTTATTTGCCTTTTTTAATATTTTATAAGATTTGTTTAGCTTTCTATTCGCAATAGTATGAAAAAAATTTGTAAGTTGTTTTTATGCACTTCTTTTGTTTTTGTTTTTTTCCTTTTTTCTTTTGCGCTGCTATTGGGTTAATAACAGCTGTAAAGGGACTCTGTTAAGTATATTGGCAGTGATGTAAAAGACGGGACAAGCTACAGTTTTCTCTGCAGTGATGCAAAATACTCTATCGATAAGTTGAAACTATCGCGGTTGAAATTGAATTTCAAATTTAAACGGCAGTCTGTTTATTGTGTATTTACTTTGATTAATGAGTAATAAAATAATAATATTTTAAATAATATTGAATGAATTCATTATTTAATAAATTATTTGCTGAGAACTTTTATAGACTGTTAGTATTGCTTACTAATTTATTAGCTCTGTAATATATAGAAACAATATTTGAAATACTCTGCTCTCTAGAAGTAACGACTTTATCGCTATAGCTTCACTAATTGAACTTGTTTTATGATTACCCCTAGAGTGGATTTGTGAAATACGACAGTTTGTCTGCACAAATCGCACAAAATCCCAGTAATGAAACAAAAAATATCTCTGAGAAGTTTCCTTTTTTTTTCGAAAGATAAGATGCAATTTCGAGTCCACACACACGCACACACACCCGCTTTAATTAGTGACAACGATAATTACACATATTCTGGGCTGGCACAATTGCGCGCTATTTTATCTATGAAATACAAACATGACATGTAGCCAAACACTAAACGACTTCTGTTGAAAGCCCAATGACTACACACGACTACAACAACAACAACAGCAACAGCAACAATGACAAGAGGAACAACATAAGCATGAACAACAAAACGATTTTTGCTACTGAAAATTACGACAAGCAATGCTAAGCAATTGATTATTGCTTAACTGTACTTTGGACTTTACACTGATGATCCAACCAAGGCTAACCAATTAGGAGGGGGAAAACTAGATAAAAAAAAAATATGTATATATATATTTATAAAAAAAAAAAAAGCCCCAGACCCATGCTAGTCTGGGGGCTCTTATAGGGAATTTGTCAGCACTTAGTTTCAAGCACTTTTATCACACTCAATTAGTTCGAGTCGAATGATAAAACTTATTCAAATGCGTTATCTATACCCTTGTCATGGGCTTTATCAAACATTTGTGATTATTTCTGTGTCATGTTTCTAACTAAAATCGACATGATTCTATTTTTTTTTTTTTTTTTTTTTTTTTAAGCCATTTGGGGGTTGCTTTTATGCAGATTTGGTTGGCCAATGAAACGTTTTTATGCTTTGTTTGATGACAAATTAATTTAATAATAACAGCTGCAAAACATTTTGTAATCAATTTAGCTTGTCGCCTCAAATTATCGTTTATGTACAAATCAATTAATGTTTGCCTGTTGTTGTTTTTGTTTTTGTTTCTTTTTTTGTGCTGACATACTTTGTGTGGGTGCATTGACTAAGTGGGGGGGATTTGTTAACATATTGATGGAGCTACTGAGCTTTAGATAAAGTTATACAATTAACTGCTCAAAAGTTCACTTCTCTGCACTCAAATTGACAAAAATTATCATTATTTGGCGCACATAGTCGAAAAAGTCGTCAAGGCAGCATAGAAAAAAGTTGAGACATTCATTTTAAAATGCGGCCATTAGAAGTCGTCGCTGCCGCAGTCAACTTCACATAATGAACGCCATTATCATGAGCATCATCTGTGCGCCGCCATGCTGCTGCTGCTGTCGACGTCGACGTCGGCGCCGACATCCGCAACGCATGCGTGGAGAGCATGCCAGTGAGAGCGAAAGAGAAGGCGTGCAGCTGTGAGAGCGCATCGTCTTGTGGGTGGAGTCACAGCATAGCATGTATATATGTATATATAGAGCACACACACACACACACACACACCCACACAGGCAGCCTGAGGGTGAGAAGAGCCGGTAATTGCCTCAATTTGCCATACATATGCGCAACCCGCAGCCAGTCACTTGACGTGCTGCCCTTTTTTGTTGCTTTCTTTACGACGTCGTCGTCACCGTCACCGTCGTCGTCGTCGTTGTCGTCTCTGCTGCCGTCGTCGTCGACGCTTTGTTGTTGCTGTTGTTTTTGTGCAATTGCTGTGTAAATGGCATGAGAATGATAATTGTAGCAATTATAATATTAAATTGGGAGATCATGGCTCACAGGGTTTTCCTTTTCGTTTTCGTTTTCCTTTTCGTTTTCGTTCTCTCCTTCCATCAGCCCAACGTTTTGATATAGCATACTTTTTTGCTGCCATCGCCTCGACGCTGCTTTTTTGGCCCAAAACTTCGCCATCTCTTTCGCTCCCCTGGGTAGCTGCCGCTGTGTATTTTGTCGGATTTGTTTGTTAATTAGAATTCTAGCGTTGAAATTAAAATGCTCACTCCATTGCCGTCACTGCGCTGCGCTGCTCTCAATCCTCTTCTTCTCTTTTTTCAAATATATATATATATACATTTGTATTTTTTTATAGTTTCTTTTTGGGGCGTTTGCCGTGGGTGGAGCCACGTTTGAGCATTTTCGTTTTTCGTTTTTTTTTTTTGGCTGCCTTCTCTTAATTACTGCAGTTTATTTTCTAAGTGAGACTAATTAACAGGCTATTCGTAGCATTGCGGCACAATCTCGTTTAGTTTCGAGAGAGACAGAGAGAGAGAGAGAGACTCGACTCGACTCTGGACTGGATGCTGCGTCTCGCTGTTTGAGTGGTCAACATTTTGGGTCCAGTTACATAGTTTGGGCATGCAGGAAACTGTCATATGGAGAGGCTATTAAAAAGTTTCTCATTTGTTACCAAACAACTTTGCTGTGCCCAATTTGTTACTCAAGATATGGCCAAAAGTTTTAATAATCAAAAAATGCCAGTAAAGCAATTTAAGTTTTTATGAAACTAATGCAAATTTATAGTAAGAAAAACTAAACTTTATTTATTGTATTTGGTAACTTTTTAAAGTCCCCAAGGGTAATTTATATGCAGTTGAACGGAACCGATTAGCAAGCTGTATAGAGTTACGTATGCAATAAGCAATATAGTAATACTAAATTATTTTATTATATTATTATGTTACTATTTAAAAAAAACTGTAAGGAATTTTTCAATATTTTCATTAATTAAAAAAAAATTTAAGTCAAGAAAAAGGAGCACAAATTTTAAAATTGTTAAGGAATAAATATTTTTTACCAACTTTAGTTATTAATGAAGTTTTAGTATAATTTGAATTCCGTTTTTAAATGTATCCAAAATAGATCATTTTAAGTTTTATAAATAAAGCATCAAAGACAAATGCTTAGCTAACATCCTTTTCTGCAAACTTTTACAACTGAATATTTGCTGCTATATTTAGCTGCCCATATATATAATCCAACCATTTAATCAAATGCTCGCCATGTTTACTTTTATACTAGAGCTCACCTCTCTCTGTCTGTCTCTCTTTCTCTGTCGCTCGCTTAGTGCGCTAACCACTTCAATTCTAATGCTCAACTGCTGCTCCACTAAGCCACAAATTTACGTTATTAGGGCAACATTAGACGCACTGCTAATTATCAACACTGTCTGGCAAAGCGAATGCCAGCAAAAAGTAACCAACACACATACACACACACACACACACACACATAATACTATATATACTATGTATCTATATATAGTTGAGCCCTTCTTGTTTGGGGTTGGAGCACAACCCTCGCACGTTAATGAACGTAAAATTCACTTAATTCCAACTTTAGCCATGAATTAAGCACGACAAATGGTTGGGCGAGTCGAGTGCTTCGACTGCTTCGACTGCTCTCTGACTGGCTGTTTGGCTGGGGCATAAATAAAAGCGTAAAAGACGTGCCACAGCGGCCAGTTTGCAGCTCGAACTGGTGCTGGAGTTGGTGCGGCTCCTGCTCCTCCTGCTGCTGGCGCTGCTGCTGTTGCTCAGTCACAATAAGTAAATGTGCTTTTATGGCTCTTAATTAAGGCAATGATGGGGTGTTTTAATACGTTTGCCAAATGTTAAATGACAAATGTGGCAGTTGAATGTGGCACGTTCTCAGTCGGGTTGCAAGGCTGCCAATGCTGCTGCCGCTGCTGCTGCTGCTGCTGTTGCTGCCTCTGCTGCTGCTCTGGCTGGCGTTAATGAAGCCGCGTTTTTATGCTCGTTTCTAAAGGGAAAAGGGTATATGGGTTAGCTATGAGTGAGCTTATAAAGCTGGAGACTCAGCTTGTCAAGAAGATGTGTATCTTATGTTGTCTGCCACGCCTATTTCTGACTGTTACATGCATTTCAATAAAACCTTCTTAGCCTGATTCACTATTGCCTGTTTCCATGGGTTCAGGTTATATTAAAAATATTTGAACGAGTATCAGGCAGTCGCTTAGAGTCGTTTTACAATTTCGCTACTTATTTAATTTTTGCCAGAGGCTTTTCTTTCATTGCTGTTTACATTCAAGTGTGCAGCCTTTGCCCTGACTAATTAGCTGCAGAGCGAGAGTGAACAGTTTCAAGTCTTTCAGCTCTGCACTCTGAAGGCCTTTTCTCCCCTCTTTTTTATCAGCTCTCTTATTGTGCTAGCGCTTTTTTTATGGCCGATTGATTTAATAGGGCCATAGCGAAAAGCGCTTTGAGCTGCTCCTTCTGTCGGTCTGCACGATTTTTATGATTTGTCAACGTTTGTCTTGGCAACTTTATGGCTACATTTGCTCAACAACTAAATGGCGCCATTTGTGGCTTTTTCTATAGACTGACCAAACACACACACACACAGTTATGTATTACGTTTGTTTGTCTGCGTAAATCTGTGTCACATAAAAATCACAAATGCGACATTTGCAGCGCTGGCAAAAATAACATTTTCAACACTTTTCGTTTGATTAATCAAACGAAACGTTTTACAGCCTCGTTCCCCAGCCACAAGCAGTTAGGGGTAGACTTAGACCCTCTATATACCCTATACATATATATGTGAGCTCTATATATTATATACAATATGTAACTTGTATCCATTTAGTCCAAATTAGTATGCCACGCACGTTTCGCCCGAAAACAAAAAAATATCCAAATACCGAAAACCAAACAAAGCAAAAAAAGAAGAGAGAATACA